AGTATAGTTTCGGCGAAACCAAGCACGGCCTTTAAAGTGGAGTTCCATTTTCGGTCCAGAGAAAAATATTTACCTTGGTAATACACGCAAAAGTAGCACATTCTCTATACAAAGAGATTAATAGTGATGCGCGTGTAAGGCATCTGCGAAAATCATAGACTACGATATAGGTCATAAATTAGTTCAACGTAATCAATCACTGGCATACGATGTCATTGTTGATATAAAACGAATTAACACAAGTGGGGTCAAAGACCTGCTAGCGAGAATAATCTGACCAAAAACAAGACCTCAACCCATCGACAACATATATGAGATGGTAACAAATCGACCATGACACAAACAAGGATAACAAAGCAATTTTTAACATTTGACATTCAGTTAAAAGTTTACCTAGTCTAGATTTTTACAAAAAAAATTTACACTCTTTCCGTGAAGATGATTGTAAATGGCCGAAGTAACTGCTAAGGCAAACACATTTCGAATGGTGTTTTCGTTTTTTTTTTTATTCCTTTTTTTAGTTGGATCTGTGTAACTGTAGAAGCTCTTCCGATTCACTAAACTCTTCAGGGGTAAAGTTGGCCTTAAGCCAAATCAACCTGCAGAGTGCGAAATTTGTTTACTCCACTAAGTTTATTGGATGTTGAAATTATTAAAAGATGAAATGTCATAATAATCGTTTGAACGCGATTCGTCTTTCGTGGCTATACATTTTTTTTAACCTGTTGAATATAGTTGGTTATATTTCATCTACCCACATACTTGATCTAATTATACTTTTTTTTCATATAATTATTACTATGATTGATTAACAATAGTCAGGCAGAGACGCCTGCCAATTCTTCTACATTCTTTGTCGAGTGAGCTCATTTTATTCAAGCTTTTTAAGCAACTATCCGTGAGTTGGCTATGTGATAAGTCCAAGGGAATCGGTGAAAACGGATCATTGAGTGATACTTGCAACAGACTCTGAGTGTTCTCAGATTATGGCAATAATCCATTGTATCAGTCAATCGTAAACATCCGATTGTAAATACTTATCCATGTATCAATCGATTGTAAGCATAGCCCGTAAGGATAGGATGCGTTAAAAACTAAGTTTGATTTATTACGAAGGCTGATCTATATATTAGGCCTTAGTGCCTTATTTGTATTCGACCGGTCACGGATGACAAATAAAATGAGCAGGATAACAGCCATTTATCCCCGTGATCGTAAGAGATTCCCTTAAGTGCTCGTCGAATATAAAACAGCTTTTGGTAGCAGCCCGAATATGACGCACTCCATCGATGATGAAAACGGGCATTTGAAACGGACGCGATCTCTAACATCGTGTAGATAATAGCCTCCATATATTTTAAGACTTTTGTTCCGTCTGGTCTGGCCACGCACTGGCCAGGTGCGTCCGCCAATGCAAATATCGTACACCGTCGAAAGCAAAAAAGTAGAGGGACAACATTGACAATGGTGCTATATGTCCCTTATATGTGTTCTTATCATATTAAGTTAAGGCTTCCGAACTCATACAATCATCGAGGCTATAAGCGCTGCTAAAAATCGTAAATATACATCGAGACGTGTCGACTTGTCGCCATAAAACAATGCTTATGATATATTTCTATCGAAACAATTAATTGCATTATTATTATTATAGGCGTGTGAATGATAGAATTATATCTCTTCCAGACGGCTAGTAAGATTGGAGCCATATGACATCGTGCGAATAGCAGCATATTTGCGTCGATCCTGGAAATTGACAGTTTATGTATCATCATGTCGTGTAAGTTATCGGTACTTTCTCGTTACAGGTTACAGAGCAGAAATCAGTCAGTGGTTATTTCGCCCAACTTCATATCTCTTGCGATACGTGCATTCGATGAAGTTCCCTACTAATCAGAAGTTTATTGTTTTGTTTGATGAATAATATTCGCAACATTTGAGACAAAAACAATAGCTTAGTGGCCGAATATTGACAGCACTTATGGAAAGGAATATAGAATTTTCGGACTGCAAATAAATACCTTGTGCCCCATGTGGAACGCTGCGCAAGCGTGCCATGTCTTCGATACGCATTTGTCTTGTTTGTCTGTCTTGCAACTGCTTGACATAAACATTGCCTTCGAACCGATTTATTGCTTGTAGACAACATTCGCAATCTCTCACTGACAGAATTCATAGGATCATAGAGAACCAGTATTTACGATTCTTGCTAAGTGGGATACGATAGTGAGACTTTTACTTAATCAATCAAAGTTGGTTCAACTTCTAGCAAAAGCTTAGAAACTCTTCTACAGATATAGCTGCTTCACAGCTACACGTTTTACGGCAGACGTTTCGACGCCACTCCAAAACTTTCTCAGCTTTTAAGGTTTATTACCCACTTTTTTTATTACGCTTTAATTGGATTGAACTTTTTTTGTCAATTTCCATGCTTTTTGGCAAAAATCACTTTCATTCGCATTCCCTTTTGTCGAGCTTTTTGACAATATTCTTCTCATCATCAATGAGAAATGTTTCTAATAAAACCCCAAAAAAGCGTAGGATATGGAAAAGTGGACATTTAAATAAATCTCTTTTATCTAGTTACACCTGCTGTGTGAAGGCTTGATCAGTATTGCCTCGAATCAGCATTATCTGGCTTTTTCGATCGGAGATTCGGATCTTATCTGCCCCGTCGATCATGAAATGATCAAAGTAGATGCTTTTTATAAGGCTAAGCAGAAAACTTGGTAAATAAGAACGGGCTTTTTTGCGCTCTCGACTATTGGTGAAACCACCTTAACCTCGTAAGACTCATCGTTTCACAATCATGAAACTTCGAGCAGTTTATGCTATGAAGCGTCTTATTTGACGCCAAGTTTAGAGCTACACGTCTTCGAAGCGGCTAAACTTTTAAAAGTTAGTCATAAAGTTTCAATACGATTTAGATCAGTAGTCTGCAGTAACAGAAAGGGCGCTATTGTGATTTACGCCAGTACGAAGGACAGTGATTTGATTGAGTTTAGAAGTCCTTTTGACAGAATAGTTTAAAAATAAATCACTACCTATACCCAGAATGATGCGTCATACTCACAAATATCAGCTGAAGTGCAGCATTGTCGCTAGATTCAGCCGAATCCTATGAAATAAGTTTGCCATTATATACCTTCTGTCGATTCTGACCTGGCCATTTGTTATTAACCCAAGCACGTTACGAACACCATCATGCAAATAACTAATGTCGTTAACTATAAATTATCGAATCATTAAAATAATGATTCATATTGTAAGCAGTTAATGTATATATGTATACGAACCCGCTGCATACATACCTTAGTGCATTTTTACGACGCGTAAGAACAGAGCCCCAGTAAAACCATCGAGGCGAAATCGAAACATACACACCGTATTCTTTATTGGCATATTCTTTATCTCCACTCTCCTCAAATCCCACAAAAAATAGGCCAGTAAAGATGACAGAATAAGAGTGCAAGGTCACAGCGACGTGATAGATGCCGCAAAGAGACTCGCAATTGGCTACCGTTGTTTGGATTCATAACTGCCAAAAAAACTACAACTAAAAAAAAGCCTAAAAAAATTAAACTCAAACTTGTTGTAGATCTCGAAAGCTACCACTGAATTAGAGTGATAGGCTAGTTAGAACTCAATAAGCTTAAACTATTAGAAAATATTGCTGACCGCTGATCAGTAGGAGCCTCGGTAGTACATCTAAACTACGGTCTATATTCACTGCGTCACGAACAATGGAAGTAAGCTGTGATAGTAGAAAGTAGGCTCTAAAAGTTCACGTGTCTAGTTAGAGTTGAATGTTTCGAGAACTAAATAACCTGTGTTGCGTTATCTTGCAGCGTGTACAGATACGTTTAGACGTCAGAATCAAATAATGCTTCTGGAATATATAATAGTTCTGGTCACTTTTGAACTGGATAATAACGATGGCGACCGTGAAGGCAAGTGAGGAGTAGCATGCCTCGAAGATTCGAAGCAACACGATTCGACTCAAATCAGGACCTGTAAACTGAAGTGATCTCGATTCGGGGCATATTTACTCAGTTCAGCTAGATACATCGTAATTGAAAGTAATCAGGAATCATAATATTTACTATCGAATCGTAGATCTGCTAATGCTCTACTGAAAGTGCAGTATTTTGTTTTGCTACGGCCTGGCCTGTTCCGTACCTTCTGCCACTTTCTACGACCAAATTACCAGCGAAAGAATCAATAAAACTAATTTAAGCGCTTTCATTAGATAGCATTCAAATTCTTAAGTAAAAGAATATCCAACGCTCTACTCACGAAATGCGCAGGGAGACACCTACCAAAACGACCCACATTAGATTCATGTCACTAAGAGGATCTATAGTTATTTCATTAACGGACAGGTATCGAAATCAGCGACATACGAGCAACAATCCGATTACTTAGAAAGGGTGAATAAATCACAACCCCGCCGTTGGATATTACCGTTAGATTCTCTAAAAGAACAAAAGAGTTACACGCATGTGTTATACTGTACATGATTTTGATTGACTATTTACACACTGCATTGGTACTAAAATGGAGCTAATTAACTGCTCAGACGGCTACAGAAGCGCTATTGTAGACATATGAAAACCACTAGTATGGGGTACAAACGTAAAAAGGAAAAACGTTTAGAAGCTAGATGGCATTACGCTAAATGTGATGCTACACCCAAGTACGTCACAACGCGAACGCCTATCTTCATTGCGGAAAACTTTTCTTTTTCAGTCTAACGGTACATTCTGTCTGACGCCTCAAAAAAAACTAGAACTGACGATTCAAGGACATATTGCTGTGCTTCAAAGGGCTTCTACCAACTTATATGTGTACGCATATGCGTGTCTATGCGGGCGCTTGGCGTTTCTAAAAAGAAAGGTCGAATGAATGAGGTGTATCGTCTTTGCAGGTCCTGATGTCCTGAATGGCATTTACACACCGACTGTATGGCGTGTCCCCCACAGACCTTTTGCCATGAAAACGTGGCGACGTGACTATTGCTATTAGCTTAAGAAAGACTGACAGCAACAATTGCGTAACACTAAGAAAATATCTTCACAACCATTACAAACGAGACACTGGACCCAATTTACAATGAACTGCAACCGGAATACTCGATTAGAAACTTGGACTTTGTGACCAGTGCTAAAAACTAATCTGCCCATAGATTTTATTCAAGCATTAAAGGTAAATTAAAAAAAAAAATTTTATTTCTTACGGCACAAAATTCTATTCTATCTACGAATGGCAAACGGTGACAAAATCAAGCGTAGGATTCCAGTATTTGGGCACCAATGAGTATCTAGTGAAACTAAATCAGATCTGACTTGCTAGTGGGATGCGCACGAGGTGGCCAGTACTGCCTACGGCAGATTATTTAGAAACAAGTTCGGGGCCCAACTTTGCAGGTTTTCGCGTTTGCTTCCGTTCGGTCGTTTTAGTTTGACGAGGGCCGGCGCACTGAGGTGGCTTGTGACGAGCCTTTTGGCAGATCAGTTCCAAAAGCGGGTAGTGCATTCGATCAGACCTATTTAAATAATACTGAAACCATTACAGAACAAACAATAACTGGTCAGTTAATATGTGACTGATAGATATCCCGACGATATGTTTGCTATTACGAAGTGTTCCGATGCCCAGTTCGAGTCTCGCAAAGATATGTCTCTAACAAGCCTAAAAATTCATGGGCTCAGAGATGTGATGTTAAGTAAATAGGTATAATTAAATAAGGGCACTTCTGTGTATTTCTCAAGTACTTGAGGGGCCTATATGTGTAAGTCATATTTTGGGTGAGCTAACGTTATTCCTGTCGACAAGAAAAATGCGAGGAACTATTTACCACCGTTTAGAGAACACCTTTCATCAGGGCGGCAACTGCTATCATCACAAAATCACACATACAATGTGCTAATGAAATAAATCATAAAACCTGTAGTAATAAAGAAAATTATCTTATTATGAAAGGTACGCCATTTAAGCTGAGACAGTCTGTGGTGTTCCGTTTGTCGTAGCGAACAGTTACTCTTAACATTAGATAAAAACTAGCCCTTTCTATAACAAAGAAAAGACAGTCATAGTGTACGCCGTTTTTAGACTTTGAACAAAGATTAGCCCTTGTTCAACCTTTACGCATCACAGTTGCCCCCATAAAGATTAAAAGCTTCTTCTTCTTTTGTTTTTTTTTTTTAGCAGATCGATGGTTTATGTTGTTGCTATCTTTCATGTGACGTTTAAAAAATTCAACGAGGATTTTTGTGCGGATAGGATTTTAATTTAAAGGACTCTAAAAACAAGTAAAATAGCCTGAAAAGACATTTGTAATATATTTAGGCTTTCGATATAAAAATTAACGGCCGTTTTAGAAAGGGGGGTGATAGGTGCCAATTGGGCCGTCAAGATAAGCTCTTACGGTCATCCTTTAAAAGCATTTTAACTTTCTGAGAACGTTTGGTTTGCCATTAGCCCGGAACTTAATTCGGCTATTCATATTGTATACCTCTGTATGTATTTGAACGACATTTGAATCACTTGACACTTATCAGTGTCGCTTTACGCGTAGTTAAATTATACGCGGGCAAATAAAGGAGTATTTTGAAAATGACTAGCATGTAGTTCTTGCCTCTATTTAGAGCTGTAATTATAGTACGTAAACATGACCGCTGCTAGTGCAGACTACACTCACGTGCGCCCTTGCCCTCGTAGCTCGTTAAGAACAAGCTGTACTTTGGCGCCCTATCTTGTGGAGTGTATATAATACGTAACAGCTGTGTGCCGTCCAGATCTGGTTTAATTAGCCTGTAATAACACTGTACTCGTGTTAATAGCTTACTCCGTCGACGAATAGGGTTGGTACTCCAGTAAGACGTCTTGTTCCCAGAGGATCTACTACCGCTCCTGCCTCGAAAGTAAGGCCAGCCATGAATTTCACAGCTGCTGTTCCTTGCGTTCCGGTGGCGCACTTTTCCAGTAAATTTGACTTCTCGGGTGTTGTGCACTAGTATTTATAAAGAAAAGAAAAAAAACTTATCACAATTTGTGGCATTTACGTGTAATTCATGATAGTTTTGTATCAGATTGAGCCTTTTATCTAATAACTGTTCTTAGAGCTGTTCCGGATAAATATCAAATTAACTAGAATAATAGAAATAAGAAAAAAGACCTTTTTCAGATTGCTGACGAATTTTTGAGGCTTGGACATAGTGCATACGGCGTATCTGAGCTGCTCCTGGATCAAAAATCAAAGTCAAAAATATAAAAAAAAAAAAAAGTAAATCACATTGATTTTCGAAGGGTGACATTCAGGCACCGCCTCAGCTCTTTTTCACGGTAGCAGTAATTACTTAAAATATTTACAAATGAGTACATTGGGCTGAATTCTGAGTGGCAGGGCAGAGATATTCACGGTATTGCTATATGATAAATCCGAGTATTCATGGACTAATATATCTACCTTACTGTTCGACTTTGTCTGCCTTACGATCACTTTTCTCTCACCTGAGGTCGCATAAAGAGATGACTGCAAGCGTGCCAAGCGTGACCCATGCATTCGTCCGGCCCGTGATGACACCTCATGTACATCACTGTATTATTTCGAGCCATAAAGATCTGAGCATGCCCAAACGGTACCAGACTGATGCAAACGCAAAAAGCTTAGGGAATTGTATAAAATTATTTGTTCACAAATAGTTTTGCGACACTACCTAATCAAAAGTATTACGGTATCAAGGCCTTCGTTTTACTTTGTAGCTTTTCAGCATTCGTTCTGGTGAAACACTTCTAAACTTATTTAGAAAGGACCGCGCCAAAGTGACGTTCACCGATTATCACTGGAATTACACACATCATACACGATCGAGAAATTGCCATTACCAAAATCATAGATTTTGATCTCTTCTCGCTTATAAATGCGGAACCCAATAAATGAGAACGGCACAAATAGCACCGAGATATGTCTTATAGGCTCAAAAGCCGTTCGATCTTCATCTAACTAATGACGGCATTTTCTGTCACTTACCTGACGAAAATATTATTACCGAATTCTCTCATAATTTCACGGATCTGAATGAGTTGTCTGTAGCTCGCTGGGCATAAAGGTTCATAAAAGACTACCACGTCTGACACGCTGGTCACGGATGGTATAACAGCCTAAACAAGTTTTAAGAAATTAGGACGCATGAATTACGCAAGCACGGTTTCTTATTCACGGATATTGAAAGCTTAGAGTAAGTGTGATGTTTTGATAAAATGTTTTACAAGCTCGTCTCGATCTTCAAGCAAATTATATATTTTAGAGTAGCTAAAACACAGGAATAAGGCTATGAAGGAATTAAGTACATTTTTCTGCAACAAATACTCAGCTGGGCCCAATACAGTTTATTACTGCAAGCCCCATTATTTAACATTAAGCGTGTTTTTGAAAGAAAACGATCATTAGAAAATACCTACGACGAAGATAATGAAACTGCTGCGCAGCATTCTGCCCCAGGTTGCACAAAGTCTGTAAGGCATATTTACGTTAGAATGTGTGAAGATGGAATGATGTATGGAAATGCATAAACTAATTATGGAGTAAACTCTGATTATTAAATTATTCCACCTAGGTTCCGTAGCGGCAAACATTTTAGCAATCTAAATCAAGGCGTGGGCTTTAAGGGCAATGTCCATATTTTTCCAGGCCGCTTTTTGAATTAGCTGATGAAAACAATGACTGACATATTCGATTTATCGATGGGTTTTTATGTAATTAAACATAGTTGTCAAAGTTCATATGATTCAACAGGTCAGAAATAAACTTGGAAGATATCTGTAATCGTTGCATGTTTTACGCTAAATTAAATAAAATAATGTATGTGTACATACCTTTCTTTTGCAAAAGCAATGACGAGCGGGACCATGATATGATCACAGGCTAACGAATTTAAAGCTCTTCGCTATTATTTCTACACTAAGAACTCGTATGAATTTGAGAGAGTTATCCCAGAACGCAGCGTAATCTCGATAACCGCCATCTGACATGGCTCTGTCCTTTTTCACCTTTTCCCCGTCGGTAGAGGTCAGCATTAGGGAATATGGCCCCAATAGTTTCGAAGGGCACACGTTTTTACCGCAGAGTGATGGAACGAGTGACCTCGTGTCGTTACTTTGTGACACCTGAACAAGCCTACAGCTCTAATTTTAACTATTCGGTAACACGTGCCATTGAGACTAAAATAAGGTCGGCCACTACGACCGACCATAGAACCTGATGCCTTCACGCACTCCAGTGGATGCCCTATACATTATGTATATTGGGTCGTCGAAATAGGATATGACCGTCATTTTAGCTAGATAGCTTTGAAACCGCAAATCTTAGTTAATATGACTTATGTCGAGTCGATGATCGGCGTTATTCGAAAGCTGAGCTATGCCAGCACTATTTACGCGGAAATTGCTAGAGTGCTCTAACGGAGACTTAAGATCAAGGACTTTCAATATGAGAAAAAAATTGTTACCAAAGTTCGCTATATTTTGAAATTTCATGTTTTCCACGTCATAGACAAATTTGTTCTGTTTGTGGTTAATGCGTTACCAGAAGAAATGGTCCAAAGATGATTCTATCGATTTTTCAATGTGAAAAATGCTTCTCATAATAGGCGACTAGCTTATAAAAATTAAAGACCCACCATGAAGCAATTTAGTTCGAAAAAGTTGGCTACAAAGAAATCTTTCTTTTTTTGTATTTTTTAGCAATATTTTTATGTTATTTTTATATGAATTTACGCAAAAATAACTTGTTTGTAGATTGTATTTTCCTCTGCAAAAGCACAACAAAATCAAATTATTTCTAAAGCCGTTGCTCACAGATGACGAAAAGTTCGATGATGAGTTACGACAATGGACGAATAAAAAAAAATGCTTCGCAAGCTGCACAAAGCCCAGACTGACGCCAAAGAAGGTGACGCAATATGCTGGGTGGCACTGCAAAGGAATCATGCCAACTGGCAAGATGATTCAGATCTCTGCTCTAAGCAACTAACGGTTATGATAACTAGTCACTGAAAAGATCGACTGAAATTACCATCTCACTGGGACAGCTTAGCTACCCGGCAGAAACTTAGAGAAGTTGGATGGGAAATTTTAATGTATCTGTCGTCACCATTAGACTGTGTGAGATTCGTTTCGGTCTCTGCAGAGCTCTTTTAATGATATAAACATAGTTTCAGTAGAGGATTTAGCAATATGTTTAATCTGAAAGCGAATAAAGTGCACGTTATTTAGATTGAACTTCGATGCCTTTGTTGTATCCGATTGCATGATTAACTTTTTTTTGCAGATTCATTCATAAGATAAGACGTATTCATATTCAACGAATAGGATGCACGATACATGCACTTTCGTCATCGGTCAATGCAGTACCTTTCCAGTATCAATTAATGCACGAGTAACTTTCTGTGAATTTTCGGCTGGCGCGGTCTGGTTTCAAACTGAACGTTCAAGAGTGTATGCGTAAATGCATATGGTCGATGTCGGCAACGATACGCGGAGGCACGTAAGAAAGGACGGAACGTAATGCCCATGATCGATTGTCACCGTAAAGACGTTGTCGTTGACTGCTCAGGAGTGACTCATATATATTAAAAGGCCTTATTGCTTGGTCCTAAATGTATGTAATATAAATACTCATTCTATTTACACGTTTTGCATACGGTATTAAGGACGGTTTCTGCGACACGTCCGTACAATGCAGACACACAATTAATATACATAGAACTCGTATATCCGCTTGTGTCGAGTTGTGCAGGCGGAGTCGACCAACGTAGTGGTACTCGGCGCTTGAACGTTGTACGAATCCGTAGTTTTTCCACGTTCCGTACCCATGTGGCAATAATAAAAGCAACAGCAGGAGCTATACCGCCGGTGAGGATTAGTTCTATTTTGGCCTCAGCCTAAGCCGACAAGACGACGGGTACTGCGACTACGGCAAACACTACCTACTAATAGCGTTCGGAGCGGAAAAAAGGCAAACCTATGCAATTCAGCTCAATGGCATGTTCTGTTTGTCACATAGAATTACGACGCACGAATTATCATGTATTACTGGAAATCTACACCTTTTGGAGCACAATTTCATATTTAATCGTAGGGGCTTGCCCTTTCAGGGGTAATCTATTCACTATTTGCTACAGAGCTGCCTGATTCTACATTTGTTCGCTGAAATGTCAGCAAGCGACCATTATATTTACTTATCTGTATTCACAGTCATCCAGGGGAACGCGTTCAGGTACATTTGCTTGTCATACACGCTTTTCTGGCATCAGCCGTTATTTCTTAGTCTTCGAAAATACCGAAGTATTTCACTTGTATAGAATTGCCTAATGTTCTCTATCCATGATCAGCGCGGAAGAGAACCCGCTTCCTTCTACCTTTTCTTCGTCGTAGTCAAATACCCTCGACATAAAGATTTACCTGCTACGCATTGCAGTTCGACACCTCACGGCCCCAGATACCATGAATCACGTGTGTCTTCCCCACATTCGGCCAACCAAGTGGCACCGTGATCATACATAAATATTTGGCAACACATCATGATCATTGACATAAACCATAATAAAACACCTATTGACATGCTTAGTATTTTCACGTGTTGTTTTTTGGTGATGAGCATTGGTAGTAAACGCTTGAATAGACGGCCAGCTCTTAAATGAAATGAAATCACTGTTTGAAGGTTGCAATTAAAGTGTTGATGTTTTTTTTTTCATTGATGAATCGAAGTACGGCTAATGCTTACCGAAATAGCCATTCGTCATCATGCTAACCAGAGAACATCGGCGCTTTTTCAACCCCTTTCGTACGGCAGACTTTGCTGTAGCTTGAATTTAGTCTAGTTTTGTCTCCCTCGTCGGTGATGCTACCCTAGCCTAGAAAAAAAAATCCTCATGGCCATCAATAGAAAACTATTACGTGAAGCCATCTCATTACGTCCTCCTGGAGCATATTTGATCGTTGCGCGGTACCATGCATACTATGTAATGCTACCATGAATACATTATTAGCGTACGGACTATAAATACTCTGATCAACACGTACTTGTAGCGGATGCGTTTGTATCTGAGCTAGTATGTATTTGATGCAAATCGAACGTAAAACAGTTAAAGACGGCTTTGCGATCCGATAGTCGCTTTAATACTATCCGTTGTTATCGTTTTTCCTTCCTGCCAGAGCTGCTACTGGGCTTGACTGATTTGAGGGGAAAGCACACGCTAAAAAAGATGCGTTCCTTGCCCATGGCTATCACAACGTAAGTGAGCAGTGGTACAACATAGTACTCACAGTACTTAACATGCATCCAGCCATTCGAATTGTAGTTGATCGTTCACAGCAGCTGGGAAGTTCTGCACGATGTGTTTTACATACTTCTTCAAGCATTCTGTATGGCGCTCCCTTCGCTGCATATGAAGTCAGCCTTTGAGGAGCATGCCATTGTTTGCAGCAAAATAAGAAAAAACGTGGGCGGTATGCTGTCTTCCGATTTTTCAACAGGAGCCGAGTCAGGCTCCGTTGAGTGGTCCCATTGTTCAATAGAGTCGTATTCAACGCGCCTTTAATCGCGTTGATAAAAATACGATAGATATGAGCATCTGAAAAGGTCCGATGACAAAATAGGATATCGCATTTTCTCTAGCTTATCTATAGAACTAGCAAATTATTCCTGCCTTTCACAAAGCTGATGTTTACGTTTTGACCACGTACGGGTTACGTACCGCGTAATAACTTCGACGTCTTGGAGGTGTTCTAGAAATTTTACTGCTTTATCAATATGGAATACCCCCCCCCCCCCCCCCACACACACACACACCGAAGGATTGCACAGAGAACTAGGGAGAACAGCGCAGATATATTATTACGTAGTCCTATGGTGATGATCGAAACGTATGTTGATGCGATCGAAGAAGCAGCGTTGCATAGGACGCGTCTTATAAATTCAATAGTCAGAAATTTATAATTTTCTAACTCAGTATTCGTATGCGAGTCCCCTTCGAATCGAGTAACGGCAGTGTTGCCAATCCAAGAAAAGTAGATGCTTGGTTCCGATATACAGTTGTTTATTCGCCATGACGTCGCTTATGATAGACGACAACGCTAGCAGCCTATTTTCATTACCTGCCTGCTGGTCCGTCTCTGATCTTTCATTGTCATCACAGATCATCCGAGCAATGGTCCATATCAGATATTATTCTAAATTTAGCATCAATTTATGCGAATTGTTTGCTACCGTTTCGTCTATGGTAATATGCTCTAATAGATCAACTTCAGTAACGACAATTGAGCGTCTACCACTTTCAATTATCATAGCTAACTATAGTCGAAAATGTAATAAAATTACGTGAGCGCTATTAACGGCTGATTTTCGGTAAGTCGCACACGTTAAATGTCTGCGCTTGACGGCTCTCGTTATGACGCGACTGTATTCCTTTAAAATGCGTTAGGCTTAGAATTGTTCAACGACGTCCTTCCAATGAAAACTGTAATACGCACAGTTTCATTGATATTACGTTTAATTGGAAACGTAAATCTACTATATAGCATATCAGCATGGTCGAATTGATATACTCTATAGGTCGTCAGAGTAAAAGGTGCATGATGCCTTCAATGTAAGACCATCAACAACGGCTCAGCAATTGTTTCCGTGTATTTTTTCTAGTTATAACATAAATGTGGTGATGATTACGTGTTAAATGATGATACAAATTTGAAAAATCAAAGCCTTCAGTTTCAAGGGAATACGAAGGCTATCCTAGGGAATGGGTTCATCGTCATTGATTGCGCAGTTTCACAGGTTACGTTTCGATATCGATTAAGTTATCCGTGATAGTAGTTACTTGTTATCGATATTAGAAGATATAATATATGGAAATGGTAAGTGCGACGCTAGAATTTTAATTATGAGATTTTCGTTATATTTACAAGTTGCAAATATGAACAGCCTTCACGAAACAGCGTGCCTTCAGAGGTTCTGAGTATGACGACGATTATTGTTATTACTATGTGTGAATAATTAACAACGTTA